GGGGGAAAAGTCATTGTCCGAAGGGTCCTATTGTTGGGGCAGTGTCGAGGACGCCTTGCTACCGACGGCAGGACATGGGGCGACGTTTTGGCAGGACAATCGAAGTCGCGATTGTAACAAGTGCTTTGTCCTTCCCTAACGCGTCGAGGGGATGAAGACACCCTTTAACGACGACACGCGCCGGTCCTTTCGATTTCCCCACTCGTGCGTTAAGGGACCTGAAGTCGTTGAAGATAATGGCTCGTCCTTCGCCGGGTTTGGAGGATCCTTGCGAGGTCCTGCCGATATTGCCCCAGGACACGCCTCACCTTTATTGCCCTGGGCTCTTACTTTCAGGACTGTCGTCGGTGCTGCCGTCCAATTAATATACAGCGGAATCCCTTTTTTCTTTAACTTTCGATAGGCCTTATCGAAAGCTGACGGATCAGCTCCAGAAAATAGGAATTACTCCACGTCCTTCTTATGACATAATTCTAATTACACCTCCTTTGATATTCCACCGCCTCGATCCGAGTCGAATTAATCTCAGCCTATTTTAACCCAACCCCTTATCCTGGAATTTCAAGTCCAAATTGAATTTCGTTAATAGTCCATATTAAACTTTTGTACTGAACTGATAATCTTCATACGTGCAAACATGAAGCTAATATGGGGTGAAGATTTTTCCTCCAGGTTTCTAGGGAATTTTGCATACTTTTTTTATTGATTTTTCAGCGTAAATTAGGACGCGTTACCCTGTGTTGAATATCGAGAGGTATTTCGAGAATCACCCTATAACATATCCCGGTAGATCATAAATCCGTCATAAAAGCCGCGCGTTCCGTCCAGAAATTTATCTCCTCCGTCGAGGTGTGCTTCCGCAGCAATGGGAGCGATATCCCGGTGCGGAATTTAATCAAGTTAAGCACACGGCAAAGCTACATTCTGGGCCATATGTAATTAGATTATTTTTTCATCTGGCAGATTTAACGCAGTAGGTGCGCGCTCCTAGGGACGTATCTCTCGGAGATGGTTCTCGGTTTGGATTTCGGTACACTGGAAGGTACTCCAGAATATCCGTAGGAACCCCACGGCGGGGCAATTTAAACGAAAGAATTAAAATGCATTTCCTTACGTTCACCCTTTCCAACTGCCCCGGACAAAGTTAATCCATCTCGGCCCGGTGAGAGATTCGCTAATTAAACAGGACGGTGCGCAATGGAGATGTCGGGGGAGGATTATTCTCCTGTCGGTAAAACCGAATCGTTGAATCAACCAGGGGGAAATTATTTACGGTGCGTCTACAACACACTTCATGTCGCGCGGTTTGCGAGTATTAACTGTCGGGCTGAAATTGAACAAATCACGGCCGGGACGTACCCATATTTTTGACGAAAAATTAATTAGTTTCATTAATGCTCGTTACGTCACTCCGGATAGAATCGCGAAAACCCTCGGAAATAAATGAATCATTACGGGATTTAGCGAGGTCGGCCCTTCCGGGGATTCGATCGATCCGTATCCCGGCTCGAGCGAGCGGATAAATAAATAAATCCTCGGTTTTTCCCTCCATTTCGGAGCAGAATTTAATTTAGCGACGGAAAATCATCCAGCTGCTGGATCCGTGTTCCCGGGAACCCTTTCCATACCTCGAGCTTGATTAATATTTAATGCGAAGAGCTGGCGAGTGCGGAAAATTCCGTGGAAAAAAAAGAAATCGGTACCGGGTCGCCTGGAAGTGGATTTTCTAAGTCAGAGAGAATTATTCGAGATTGTTAATAGTTTTAATTGAGATTTGCGGATTAGCGGCTTATCATAACGTAGAGTCAAAGTACCCGTCGCGGGGACATTTGTCACAAGTGTCAGCTGTTGTTTTTTCGGTGGCTGTACTTAATAACGATATTTATATTGCTCAGATATCTTTGAGCAAGCTTGACGAAAAATTGTCTGATAAGAGCTGTCACCTAATCGTTTGGGCTCGTTCGTTTGACTCGATGTCAAGGCCTTAATTAACTGCTGTCAGTGTTACACGTGTTTGTCAAATGAATGCAGTTGTAATAAGAGTCAACTCTGACTGGAATAATTTTATCCGATACAAGTAAATAAAGTTTTCACGGTACGTGACTAAATTTTATTCCTGAGATTACAAGTACAAGATACATTTTCGTATTAATATTTCGGAGTAAAAAATTCTCCGCTAAGAATTGTTACAATTGAACCTAGTCTTTATTAACGTGTCATAAGATGGATTTTAAAGCGCCAAGTATGACGGTAAATTCCGAGACGATAAATAACCTACGTTAACGGCGTTACCGTCAGAAGTGCGCCGTTACAAGTACAGTAAGATATTTCTTACTCCAAATATTTCCGAACCTATATGTTCAATTGTAATTCAATTGAAGAGACTATAGTCTACATTAACGGGCCATAAAATGTATTTCAGGGCTCCAAGTGTGACGGTAAATAACCGACGTTAACGGCGTTACCGTCAGAAGTGACCGGTCGTTCAAAAAAGGACAAGGCAGGGCGATCGCGGGACAAGGCTCGTTCGTTTGACTCGAAGTCAAGGCCTTAATTAACTGCTGTCAGTGGCACACGTGCTCGAAACGAAACTAACGGGTGTCGGGTCTTGCACCCAGCCTGTACAAGCGGGTGCACTCCGAGTACAATCCTCGACCTGCGATTTCCGCTGCGGCTCCTCCGCGATCGATGGCGCCGCCTTTGATCCGCCGCGGTGGGGACCGGACCAATTATCGCGATCACGGCTCGATTTTTTACTCCCTCGTAGGTATATTCCAAAAATTGCCTCCTCGCCGTTTCCCCAGTTAACGACTCCGCGGACGATGCGTTAATTAATTAGGAGTTATCCCTTTAGGCCGCATTTGGTGGGTAAAATATGGAATGGAAAAAAAAATTTTATTTAAATCACCGAAGATCTCGTTCTTTTATCCAAATCTCAAATCAGCTGTTTGGTGCATTCGCAAAACCTAGGATCTTGAATTCTGTTAATTTTTCATCTTACTGTTTATAATAGTAATTTATGCCAAAAATGATATATGGTAAAAATCTTCGACCCGGCTACACCTATTTGAAATTCTCGCGTGAATTCATGACGATCATATGAGGTAAAAATTTTCGACTCGAGGTGAGCATATCCTAGTCACGTCGCGGACTCGACGGATAGGGCGGATTTGTAAATTGAAATTCCCGCAGATTAGGGGTGTTTCCTCGCAAAGGGTGTTACCGCACGTCTGATTACGTCCCCGGGTACAAAGATCCGCGCCACGGTTTTTTCCAGTCCAGAAAGAGGGAGAGAGAGAGAGTAGTGGATTAATATAAGCAAATAAAACGGAATTTCTTTCAGCGGGGATGTAATTTGATTTTCCTTCTCGGGGAAAACACTCTGGGAAAATATAATCCACGAATTGGGATTCATTCCGATCCCTATCGAGTTGGCCCGAATATCGCATCGATAGCTGCACCCCGGAAATGAACTTTCAGCTCTTTTGTCTGTATACATCGTCGAGATGCACTTCTGCACCGGAACGAAACACCGTCGGAATTGCATCGATTTATGGATCTCGGAACTCCACCCCCGGTGATCCAGATTTGATTGACATCCGATCTGGATACCCCAGCCCAGAGGCGCGCTCTTGGAATTAAAATAAAAATTCCATAAACCCTTCCATCGACTTCTAGGAAGGTCGATGGGGTTCGGGATGGTAATGGTAATAATTAAAGTAAACCATGGTAATTATTATGCAGTCGGAAAAGCGAGGGTGTTCGTTTGAATTGGGTTAGTTGGAGGTTCGAGAGTAAATTTCGACTGCGATCGATGCCCTCCGTGTGGCTAATCGCATTGTCCTAAAAAGCCGCGAAAAGGGTGACCCGATTGGGTCAGACATCGGAGGATTAATAATCAATTATTATCGATGACCAGTCAGGATTCATCTCGCGCCATTTGCGACCGGACTTCCGGAGATACCTCGACCTGCAATTGGTCTCGATGAACAATTAATGGCGAGGGCTCTCCCCGAGATTTATTAGTATTCAAACACGCAAAGGCGGATATTAATTCAAGGAGGACCTAGGGCAGCTGGCAAGTGCAGCAAGCTCCCCCGGGGGTCGTTATTAAATATTAATAACAGGAGAAGCATCGCGCACCCTTGCACATGGAGCCGCCACCCCCTTCGCGTCTTCTAGATCGAAGATTCACCCTCCTCGTTAAATATCTCCCTAGATAACGGCCCTAACAGGGCGTCATTCCAGCGATTATCAGCAATCGAATCGCTAGATTCGAATTCCCCTCGGTTCAGAGCTTAAAATCAGATCCTGGCGCAAGAAATCCTCGAAGGGAGGGAAAAACGAGTATCGATTTTTAAGACACATTTCAGGGCCTGGAGAGGCTCTAAAAGTTCCTGAAGAGATCCCCATTAAGTCCATCTCTTTATGCACGCACGGAAAATCCACGAGACCAACTTGGATTGGAATTCCGCTCGATGGAATCCTTAAAATCCTGCCGCAGGAATTCTTCACTATGAGTATGCGAAAAAAAATGGTAGCGATTTTCCGAGGAAATTTCTAAAGAATTCCCCAGTCGGAGGCATTAAAACCAGACGAGGTTTGAGTCGTGGCCTGCCCTTTCGATCCGGGGCTGAAAAATGTGCCCGTTCGCCAGGATGAGCACCAGGACCTCCGCAGGATCCTCACGCGTCTTTTACAAATGACGAGCCACCCCTTGCGCGCTCGTGCCTCGCGAGCAAAGGCTTCTCTCCAGGGGATCTCCTGCATCTTTAAGGGGGAAAAATTACCAGAGCCGCCACTCCACCCCCAGGACCTCCTCGTCCTTACTCATCCCCATATCCTTCCTTCGGCGGTGGGAGGAAAAGGGAGCCTAAGACACGGCGGCGCCCTTTTCAGACATTCAGACATCAGCCCTTGCAGCTGCGCTCGCCGGTGGGCCCGGGTGGTTTATTTATTTAAGCTCTAGGGGATGGAAAAAAGAGACGTTACGTGCTCACCGTTCCGGCACTAAGATCCGTGAGTTTGCAGGGCAGCACCGCAGTTCCTTTCGTCTGGGCCAAGACTTCCTTAATTGACTCCGTAATCGCCGGTCCATTCTCCTCGGGCCCATTGTTCGTCGGATGTCTGCGACGTATCGCGCCCTCTGAAACAGCGCGTGCAAAGAGTCAGAAAAGGGGTGATACGAGGAAAAAGGCTGCGTCTCCTCGCCAGGGAGGAGGGATCCAAGAAGGACTCATTCGGGTCCTTTGAGGTCGTCTTGACTTCATCAGTACCCGCCCTAAACATGGGTACTTCCATCTCGTACCGTAATTTTTCCTCCCCGGAATTATCCTCATTCCCATTCCCCCTGGATATACTAAACCTGCCAGTTTCATTGTGTATGTAAATTGCAAACAAAATTTCCGGGGAACTGACGTCTAGTTGGGGCTGATTGGACGGTCTGAACGCAAGCCTTGCTCCGAATGGATGGTCTGATCAGACGCTGATCAGAAATCTTTGGATTCTGATGGCTTAAGTTCATACGAGATTGACTATCCTTATTGTACCTATTGTTACTTCCGAGCGGAATTGTCAAGTATATGCAGACTCTCCCCGGTCCAAGGATGAGTGGCAGAGAAATCGACACCGGGTCTCATTCCCTGACCTAACTTCACTGTCGTGAAATTTGTCAAGGGTGTAATCTTTGATGATCAAGTAGCTGTTTGCAAGTGGACGTCTAGGGATGTTCAGCTCGTTAGAACTTTTACCTCGGATTTATAGGATTCCTCTGGCGCCACGTCCAACCTGGAGCTTTGGTTTGCGGTCTAGGACGATTTAGCGCAGTCGCGTCCGGCGATGGTCCTAACCCTTCTCTGTACTTGGATGCACCTAGATGCACCCTGCTGGAACGCACATGCACACGGCGGATCGGACATATACGTCGGTTATCGTTTCGCAGTGCCGTAACTAGCCCGTAACATACGTGTAACGACCAACCCGGTGCATCGTAAACCAGGATATATGAGTCCTCGAGAATATCGCTGGTGGATGGGTCCTTGATGCGCCCTCCTCCTCATTAGGGCCCGATGCGGACTCCAGACTTCGCGGGGGGTTTACGAGGCGGTGCCCCCGAGATCTCGGTTCTCGTTCGCCATTTTATTCCCCAGATCTAGGATATTCCCCGGTGACGAGTTTTCGGAGGACGACGGCGAGATAGACCTCTTATTGGCCGTTCGCCATGCCGGAGATGTTTCCTTCGACCGATTCCTCGATATTTTCGGATTTCATGGGGGGTTTTACGGGGCCAAAGGGCCCGATGAGGCTCCCGGTAACCGAGCACTTTGCCATTTTGTCACGGAAACGAAGGGAAGGGCCGTGTCGTGTCTCGATGTGGATTCGGGTCGTTCGGTGGCAATAATGTCGGAGCGCAATGGGGTCGGTTTGTTTGCCGGGCGCAAGTTTCCCTGTTTTTCGACGGGATGGTAAATGGATATCGATATCGGCCCGAAGGAGATCTCGTTCACTTTGAAACCACCCCCCCGATATCGATATCCGAAACCTCTCTACCCCGGAATCGAGGGCTGGTGAAAAATCAAAATAAATTCGGACGCCGTGTTTTGTCTTCTGTTATCCCTAGCGATATGCAAAATCGGTCTCCGTCTTGAAACCCTTGTTTTGCGCGTGCACTTTTGCCAAGACTGCTTGTACTAATCGTGATTAATAAAATCTCTTATCCATGATTAGTGAAGTTATTATTAATTATCCTAGTTCAAGTAATCCTTGTATTATAATTTTAACTCCAAAGTTGGAGCAACCTGCCCTAGGACTGTAAGACTAATGCCGAGTTTTTCTTATCAGTCGCGTTGGGTCTTTCATCAATGAATCAACAGAGTTATTGAGAAAATCCCTTTTAGTCATAGAATCTTGATTTCGGTCTTGTAACAATGGTCAGGTCTAGGTCATAATTCCAGCCCTCTCATTTTTGCAAGTCCACGAACGAGCCCGTAAGACTAATTTCAATTTTCAGTGATTAGTCAGTCGCGTTGGGTCCTTCTCAATGGAAAATCCAAAATGGGGGCAAACCAAGAGCCACCGGGACAGGTGCTCGATGCGATCTCGCCGCGGTTTTTGCTGTTTCAACCGCTCAAAGGGCCAGTCTTCTTAAACGGAGTTCTCGCGCCTCCTTTCATCGATTTTACGAGCTCCCACCCCGCGGTCGACGATAAATCCTCCATGTCGGAAGGAGCAGTCGAAAGAGGGTTGCGGTCTTCGGATCTTCGCACGCGATTCCGCCCTCCACCCCTCAGATTTCTCTTCGCTTAGCCCCGAATATGGGTCGTTTATTTAACGGAATGCCCTGACGAGAGGTTCCGACCTGCACCCTCTTCTTCCTGCACTGCCCCCCGGATTAATTCGATATCGCGGGATTATCAATTACCGGGGGCAATTTTGTCCGCCGCGGATGTCCTCGGCCTTCCGAGACCCGGAAACGCGGAACGAGGAAACGAAGAACGTGTCACTAAAATTCGAAACGGTCACGTCCCGAATACCTCCTCCACCTCCCTGGGGGGTTGCACATGCAAAGCACCCCCGAGGCCATTACGAGGGCCGTAATGCGACCGCAACTGTTCGGAGCAGCAGCGGCGCGTATCCTGACGCCCGAAGACCGCCGTTTCCGCAGCCGTTGCCGCATCCGTAAACGCGCGATTAATTGAAAGCCCCAGAGAGCCGGTGTTTCCGTCGTTACCTCCTGGACTCGTTCCGCCGATTATCATGCATCATCGTTTACGTTATTATACATCCTCGAATCTTTCAAATGGATCTTTCGGCACAAGAAAAAATTCCCGCGATATGAAATTTAAAAAACATGGATTTTCCACGATTATTATTGACATGGAAAAAAAAATTCACCGTGGAAAAAAAAAATTCATTGAACGAAAGAAATACTTTCCTCATTCGGACAATAATTATTTGACTCAAAAAAATATTTCTTTGGTACTATCAAAGGAATTTTTTCCTGGTTCGAGGAATTCCGTTACCGAACGCGTGCCAGCATGAAGAATTGTATAATAATTGGTAATCTTAAATCATTCCCTAGAAGTTCCGCTTCCGCGATCAGGCCCACTTTATCAGGGCATTTTCCGCGGCGATAATCGCCGGGCAATCAGGCCGAGGAGAAGGAAACAAAATCTCGTATCATCCCGAGGGGAAGCCTTCGTGAGCGTGTATTTCCCAATTTCCCGGAAAATGTCCATTTCTCGTGGAGGCCACGGCGCACGCAAAGCACCTTCGGGGCCATTACGCGAGCGGAAACGAGACCGCGCTGCGGCCTGGCGGGCGCGTCGACGGAATGATGTCCGAAAACCGCGGTTTCCGCGTCCGCGGGATTAATCGAGAGCCTGGGCTCTTCCCTACGAAATGCATCTCCGCTGCACCTGCAACTGGGTCGGGGCTAATTACGCTGCGTTATTCCACCTGACCATGCAGCCGAGGAACGCCGAATTTAAGATTCCCTCCGCGTAATGACACCGCGTGCGGATTCGTCTCTCGGCTCGGAATTGCAATCCGGCCCGTCCGAAATCCCATTAGCCATCGGACGGGAAGAATACGGGAAGGAACGAGATAAAAAAAAATAAAAAATTCCCTTTTATTGCTAGGAATAATTTGGAAAATCCCGAAAAAGGCATTTTTACCCAACGGGGGAATCTCTCGCTCTCGGGATGAAAGGAATCTTTATATCGTATCGTGATTATTTATTTCCGCATATCCTGCGTTTTATCGACTTGTTCTCGAGGCATGTCGCGACGCTCCAACGCTCGCCGAATAATTGATTCATTAGGCCCTGCTCGGGAAATAACGAAGATTAATGATGCCACGTAATGTGCCGAGGGCCATTTTATCACGGGGACCTGCGGTGAAAAATTGATACGATTCGTGATTACTGCCTTCCCGTAGAAACTGTGCGGAAACTCCGCGCACCTTTTGTGCACGAGGCTGTAGTCAGGTTTTAATATTCATCCCTTAACCCTGAATAAGTACAGAGTTATTAAAGATTTATGAATAAATGTGGCATTTCAATTCTCTGAAACCGCGCAAGAGAATCAATACACTCGTCCCCTGAACTCATACCGCCCCCAGTATCCGAATAATAAGTAAATAATAATAATAAGTATGAAATTAATATTACGAGGCAATATTTAGGAAATATTCTATGCTACTGGGGGCGTGTTTCTAAATCATATGAACGAGATGTAGAATTAGTATATGATGACAGAATGAAATTCAGAGGGGAAAAGGAGAATCCGTGAAATTAGGATATATGGACTAGGTGGATTTCACTCGTCCAGGTTACTGGAGTCGGATTTGCCCAGGCCCGGAGGTCCTTTCCGTGTCCAGGAGCAATCTGGCAATATCCTGGCCGATTCGAGGTATCGAGCACGGAGCTAAACGTCTCCTCTGAACGATGGCACGGTGCCGAGCCGGTTTGTCGGCCCCGGGGCTTGGGGGTCGTAAAAAGGCCGATCGGTCACGAGATCGCGAGCAAAGCGTCCAGGGTGGTCGCCGGGATCGGGGGTCGAAAAAGTCGGAGCACGTCGGGGTGGAAGACAAAGAGCCGAGTGGGCTCGAGATCGTCGAGACGAGGGTGGAGGGTGGCCCGCTGCACCCCTTTACGCAGGGTCGACGACTCGACGCGACCGACTCGAGTAAAGTCGGCTTTTTCGCGTAAATCAGGGAATCGATCATCGACGAAGAGGGAGAAAAGGCGAAAGAAAAGGGGGATGAAATTTCCTCGAAAGAGTCGGGCCTTTCCGAGCCTCTCAGACATGTCAAAGAATCCATAGAGACCTATCAGCTGATCGAACCAGCGGTCCGAATTTTTTATGATAAAATCAATTTTGACAAAAAGTATGCGGTTGAAAATGTTGAAAAACGCATACCCTGGGGGATAGTATAACATGGCGAGAGGCTTTTTATCCGTTTAACAAATTTGCTCAACGATGTCAATACTTCCGCGCGCGCTCCTCTCCTCGTGGGTAAAAACGTGTATTTGCATTTCGAGCAGAGGACGATGTTACCGATGAATGTTTCCTATTTGTTCTGGAATGATTTCCTTGATTGTGGGAATTGTTTTGCAATTGCATCGATTTACTTGACGGGCCTCCC